ATATTATAAGTTGAAAATAATCACAGGTTGAAAATGTATATAATACACTAACCTACAAACCTCATAGCTTGGCAATATAGTATAGAAAATCCAGTTATTTACCCTCTTGATTGTGTACCTGACTGAGAACTGTAGCTAGCTGCCACTGCCCATCATAGGTGTCATGCTAGATATTGCTAGACCAGGAAAAGATAAAAACTAGAAGTATGGTTTCTACTGAATTTTTATAGACTTTTTTTTTCCTGTTTATATGCTTATTTATACTGGGGATTGAACCCAGGGGAACTCTCCACTGAACTATACCCCAGCCCTTTTTTTTGAGAGAGAGGGTCTCATTAAGTTGATGAATATGGCCTCACACTTGTGATCCTCCTTCCTCAGCCTCCTAAATTCCTGGGATTACAGGCCTGTGCACCACTGTTTATGGATGAATTATATATGAATTGTATCTCTATAAAACTTTTTTGGGGGCTGGGGATGTGGCTCAAGCGGTAACGCGCTCGCCTGGCATGCGCGGGGCGCTGGGTTCAATCCTCAGCACCACATAAAAATAAAATAAAGATGTGTCCACCGAAAACTGAAAAATAAAAAATAAATATTAGAAAGTTCTCTCTCTCTTTAATTTTTTTTTTTTTTTTTTTTTTGGTGGTGCTGCTGGGGATTGATCCCAGAGCTTTGTGCATGCAATTGAGCTATATCCCCAGTCCAGTAAAACTATTTTTTAAACCTTGTATTTTATCAGGTCTGCCTGGTTTTTCTTTTTTTTTTTAAATATTTTATTTTTTAGTTATGGTTGGACATAATACCTTTATTTTGTTTATTTTTGTGTGGTGCTGAAGATCGAACCCAGGGCCTTGTACATGCTAGGCAAGCACTCTACTGCTGAGCCACAACCCTAGCCAGATCATGGTTTTTCAAACTTTCTCTCATAACTCACACATTAAGGCATAATTCCTACTACCTATGCCATAGTTGGTTCAGTTCTTTACTACATATAATTTAGAAATATTGCTTCTGTCCTGTGCTTTTTTTTTTTTTTTTTAACCACCTCATCACTGTATTTTCCAAACTGGGTAGCAGTATAAAAGTACTGCAGAAGTTAGAGTGATCTTGTTTCAAATTGCAGGTTGAATGTGAAAGCTCACCTTTCTGAAATCTAGTCATGAACAAGAGTTAGTTGAGGGCTGGGGACGTAGCTCAGTTGGTAGAGTGCTTGCCCTGCTGCAAAAGGCCCTGGGTTTGATTCCCAGCACTAAAAAAAAAGAGAGAGAGAGAGTGTAGATCACACACAGGTGTGCAAGGTCCATCCACTAAAGCCCCTTCCCTGTTCTTGGAAATCTGTCAGGCCCTCTCTCATCATGTTTGCCATTATTTTGCATATCATCCTAATAAGCCGATTGCTGATTTCCAAACCCTAATAGATTAGAATCCATTTAGAATGGGTGTAAATGGTGTGCAATGGACTGAATCCTATCTCCCAAATTTGCATGTTGAAGCCCTAACTCCCAACGTGATGATATTAGGGGATCTATGATGGTATTCGGGACCTTGGGAAAGGTAATTAGGTTTAGGTATGATCATGATGGGTTTAGTGTCCTTACAAGTAGAAAAACCTGAGAGATTGCTCATCTGTCATGGGAGAACACTCTTCACCAGAAACTACCTATGCTAGCACCTTAATTTTGGACATCTAGACTCCAAAACTGTGAGATAATAAATTTTGGTTGTTTGAATCATTCAGTCTGATGTTTTGGTATGGCAGCCTGAGCTGACTGAAACATGGGGGGAAAACATCTAATAGTTTTTTCTTTTTATTATGACAGGAGTATTCTTATTTTTCTGCTTGAGAATCTAAAGTCTCTGTTAGCCGATAGTGTTTTTTTCTTTCTTTTTTTTTAATTGGTACATTATAATTCTACCTAATAGTGGAACCTTTTATTACATTTGATACATACACATAATATAACAATATAATTTGTTCAGCTTTATTTCCTAGTACCTTCCCTCCCCCTCATCCCTTTCTATTTACATGAGGTCCCACACACATGTGTATGTTTTTTTTTCCTCTTTTCTCCCTAGCTTCTACATCTAAGAGAAAACATATGATCCTTGATTTTCTGAGCTTGTCTTATTTTGCTAACCTAATGCTCTCAATTTCCATCCATTTTCCTGCAAATGACATAATTTCATTCTTCTTGGTAACTGAATAAAACTTCATTTTGTGTGTCTGTGGGTCATTTTTTTTTTATCTATTCATCCATTGATAGACACCTAGGCTTTTCCATAATGTGGCCATTGTGAATCGTGCTACTGTAAACATGTATCACTGTTAAATGCTCACACCAGTTCTTTAGGGCAGATACCAAGGAATGATATAGCTGGGTCATATGGTGGCTTCATTCCCAATCTTTTAAGGAATCTCCATACTGGTTTCCATAGTGATTGTATTATTTATACAGTCCCACCAACAGTGTAAAAATGTCCCTTTTCCCTTTATCCTCTTTAGCATTTATTATTACTTATATTCTTAATGGCTACCATTCTAACTGGAGCAAGATGAAATCTTGGTGTAGTTTTGGTTTGCATTTCCCTAATTGAAGAAATGTTAATTTCTTTTGAGAAGAAATTGCTCATTTTTTGATAGGGTTATGTGGGGGGGGGTTGGTAAGTTTTTTGAGTTCTTTATATATTCTGGATATTAATCCTCTATCAGAAAAGTCACTAGCAAGGATTTTCTCCCATTCTGCAGGTTTTCTTTTCACACTCATTTCCTTTGCTGTGCAGAAGCTTTTTAATTTGATATCATTGCATTTGTTACTTCTTGGTATTATTTCCTGAGCTCTAGGAGTCCTGTTGAGGAAGTCATTGTGCCAGGAGTAATTTAGGTTCTGCTTCTTTAGACTGAATAGCTTTGTAAGGTAATTTTACTTCAACATATAATATTGCCTTTAATTTGGATGCCTAAATCCTGAAAGCATCACTCTCCACACTTAAGCCTAATGTAAGCAGGGTAGCCACAGACTATTACTTGCCTTTGTTACTTAGAGTTGAGAGATGCTGGGCTACCACTTCCTTTTTCCACTGTCAACCCCTTTAGCAGACGTCACTAAGGATCACCACATTCTTTCTTCCTGAGCCAGCTGAGGTCGTAGAATCAGCAACAGAGCTTCACACATCTACTTTGGGCCAACATCAGACATCTGTAATTGTTGCTTAGTTTTGTATCTTATTTATGGTCATTAGTAACTTGAGAAGACCATGACGAAAAGAATGGATAGTACTCTGAGGTATGATTTATGAAATTGTATAAATTTCAGGTGTACAGGTTCATGATTTTGTGTGTATATATTGTGAAATAATAACCACAATCACGTTTAACACATCTATTATCTCATATAATTACCTTTTTTAGTATATGGTAAGAACATTTAAGATCTACTCTCAGCACATTTCAAGTTTTTAATACAGTATTGTTAAGTATAGTCACCATGCTGTACATTTAGATCCCCAGAACTTAAACTTGTAACTGAAAGTTTGTACCCTTTGACCATCTTTTCCCCATTTCCCCTGGCATCTACCAGTCTACTCTTTTTTTTTTTTTTAATATTTTTTGGTTGTAGATGGACACAGTCCCTTTACTTATTTATCTTTATGTGGTACTGAGGATCAAACCCAGTGCCACACCCATGCTAGGCCAGTGTTCTACCAACTGAGCCACAACCCCAGCCCCGAGTCTACTCTTTATGAATCGTACTTTTTTTAGGTACTACATACAAGTGAGATTATAGAATATTTGTTTCTGTCTTATTTCACTTAGAAGATTCATCTGCCATCAAGGTTTATCCATGTAGTCACAAGTGGCAAGATTTCCTTCTTTTTATGGCTGAATAATATTCCTCTGTATAAGCATGTGTACGTGTACATTTCATTATTATTACTATTATTTGCAGTTCTAGGTATTGAACCCAGGTCCTCCTCATTGCCAGGCAAATGATCTACCACTGAGTTACACACCCAGCTACACCACATTTTCTTTATCCAGTCACTTAATTGACAGATATTTAAGTTGTGTCCATGTCTTGGCTAGGCTGTAATGAACATGGATGTATAGGCATCTCTGAGCTACTGATTTCATTTCCTTAGAATAGATATCCCAAAGTGATATTGGAGAATTATATGGAAGTTGTTTCTACTTTGGTGATGGCTCACTGGGATTTTTGATTCGTGTTTCCTGATGGTTAGTGATGTTGAGTTCCTTTTTAGGTACCTGATATTCACTTGTAAGCAGCAGGTTTTCATAACAATCGGGTAAAGTGTGCTTTTCAGAACTGTTGTTGTTTGTAAAACATTCAGGTACTTCTTCCAGCAAGCCAATTGTTTTGTGGAATAGAGTTCTACTGTGGGGAGGATGTCAGTCTTCGGAAAAAGCCTTTGACCTAAAGGTGACTGTCTGTTTTTCCACATATTTATTTATTCATTTAAAAATTTGTTTTGGACATTTTAATGTTAGGATGCAGATGAGATATTTATAAGTAAGACATTGCTTTGACATCAGGAATGTAAACTACAGAGAGAGGTCAATAGATGTACAGGAGTCTGTCCTAAGTGAAGTGTTTTGTGCAAGCTAAGAGAAAGAATGGCTAAAAGAAGGGGAGAGAGTATGGCTTAACAGAGGAAGTGGTGTTGAGCAGAAAAGAAGAAAAATATCTTCTTATTGTGTGGGTGTAGCAGTATGGTTTGTTTCTCACACAGACATCTTTATTAATAATGGGTCCTGTTTACCTCTGTTGAAGGATGTGCAGGAGTTTCCTGCCAGAAGAGGAAGAAAAGGCATTCCAAATGCCAGTGAAGCCTGTTCACAGGTTGGGAAGTTAGAATTTTGACTTGAATTATAAAATCCTTAAAGATTAGAATTAGGTGGAATTCAAACCAAATCCCTTAGTGTTATATGTTGGTAGCCCCTTAATTTATTTCAAATTCTTTTCAACCCTGTTTTCCAGGAACTCGAATCATTTATGATAGGAAGTTTCTTTTGGATCGACGCAATTCTCCCATGGCTCAGACCCCACCCTGCCATCTGCCCAATATCCCAGGAGTCACTAGCCCTGGCACCTTAATTGAAGACTCCAAAGTAGAAGTAAACAATTTGAACAACTTGAACAATCATGACAGGAAGCATACAGTTGGTAAGGGATGCCTGTGTTGGGGACCAAGGGGGTGGCTCTAGGAATTTTTATGTCAGTTTTCTGTAGGTTGAAAAATGTTGATACAACAGGTATAATGATATTTAGTAGATATATGTCTCTGAAGTCCTCTCACCTCCCAAAGTTTATTGAACTGCTTTGAAAGCCCTGAGTTCCAAATTATAATCAAATCTCATTGGTGGGTGGAAAACAATCCAAAGTCAGGGCATGGTTAACTCAAAGTTGACTCTTGGAACCATACCTGAAGGACTGCCTGGTCAAGGCTTTATTGGGCCATGGATTAACACCCGCCCTCCCATACACACACACACACACACACACACACACACTCACACACTCACACACTCACATACAGAGAGGATGTCAGAGCTCCCATTTCCATCGTCTTTAGAGAATAGACTTTTTTCTTTAGAAGAAAGATATCTTCTAATTATCTGGGTGTAGCAGTATGGTTTGTTTCCCACACAGACAGACACCTTTATTAATAATGGGTCCTCTTTTTACCTCTGTAGAAGCAGAATAATGATGTAAGAAATGGCCAGCTCTTGAGTAAACCTCAGGGGTTGCACTTTGATCCTCCCAGTACTGGGGATCAAACCAGGGCCTCACACATGCTAGGCATACTATAGTACCACTGAGCTACATCCCCACCCCTTATTAATTTTATTTTGAGACAGGGTCTTGCTAAATTGCCGTAATTAACCTTCAACTTGCCTACTGCCTCTGTCTCCTGAGTCTCTGGGATTACAGGTGTGTGCCACTGTGCCTGGCCTTCACTTGGGTGTTTTTGTTTTTGTTTTTTGGAGCGTGGGGAAGGGGGTACTGGGGATTGAGCCCAGGGTCACTTGGCCACTGAACCACATCGCAAACCCTATTTTGTATTTAATATTTAGAGACAGGGTCTCATTGAATTGCTTAGCACCTTGCCTTTGCTGAGGCTGGCTTTGAGCTCACAATCCTCTTGTCTCAGCTCCTGAGCCCCTGGGATTATAGGCATGTGCCACTGTGCCCAGTTCACTTTGGTTTTTAATGAACAAAGTCTCAATACATAGAAGGTCTCAAGTTCAAAGCTTCCAGAAGAGTGTGCTCACTTGATCTCTGGCAGAGAGCTCCTAGAAGCTGCTATGTTGTGAGCTATGGACAAGGGTATTCTGGGAAAGTTCACTCGTGTTCTTTTGCCCATTTTCTCTTTCCCACAAGTGATGTGATTTTTTTTTTTTTTTAATTCCATATAAAAAAGGCCAGCCGAAGGCTGAGGGTATAGCTCAGTGGTAGAGCACTTGCATAGCATGTGCAAAGCCTTGAATTCGACCTCCAGCACCACAAAAACAAATGAACTGAAAATTTAAAATATTAGGCAAAGCAAAGTAAAACAGAATGAGTGCTTTAAAGTAGCAGAGAGTGGGATTGTTTGAATTATTTTCTTGACCCTTGTGTATAGGAAATGATATTTAAAAGTGTTTTGCTTTTCTTTTTGTGCTAAACTTTGTGTTTCTTCATCCTACCCAGGGGATGACGCTCAGTTTGAGATGGACATCTGACTTCCCTGTGAGGAGAAGAAAAGCAGCAACACCAATGCCTATGTGTACCTGATCTGGCTGTAGGATCAACAGTGAAGAGACATAGAGGCAGCACCAGCATCCCCAATGCATCTCCACCTCTCCCTCCTCCTCTGTGCCAAATGATGGGAAGATGAGATTCATCTGACCATTTCTCCTCCCTTTCCTATCCCTGCCCAGTTAGATTAGCTTGAAGGCCCTTGGGGTGTTTTCTTAGAACTAAGCAGTCCATAGAGGAAAACTAACTGTGGCTTCACTGGTCATTTCTCTATTGAAACCACTCTCCACTTCAGATTTATTCCAAATCAAGTCTCACTCTACCAGCTGGGATTTCTGGGATACAGAGATTTGGCTGGTTGATCATTATTTGTGTTCTTTTCTTTGTCTCTCTTCCTTGAATCCTACTTGTTTAGTGCTCGGTTTGGGGTCTTTAGATCCAGAATGGGGACATTACAAAAAGAGGGCTGCTTTCTCTTTTTGAGTTTGAGTTGTTTGTCTTTAGGGACAATTTGTGCAACTCTGATAGCAGTACCCCGTGACGCTGTTCTGAAGTCTACTTCCCCTCCTTCCTCTAGGAGGAGTATCTTCTGTCTTTGGTATTATAATTCATCTTCCCATTCCTTTATATAGTGCAAATAAATTTGTGCAGATACTTTTAATCTTTACCACTGAAGGGAGCCTTGGTAACCAGGTGTACTTTACCATTCTTCTGCCATTCCTCTCTGCTTGAATCTTGTTGCTGGCAGAGTTCTCTGAATTGTGAGATCTCCACATGATTTTTTTCTGCTCCCAGAGCAGGTTCATAAGAAGGAATTGAGACACTTTGGTCTCCACATGGTGGGTAAGGACTAATCCTAGTATTCTGCCAGATAATGCCTAAGAATGACCTCTGAAGACTGTTGAACCATTTCAGTACCCAGTTTTAGTAGTCAGCTGTTTTAAAATCCAATCAATGTTGTGATATTTGTTGTCTCAGATTTCAGTTTCTTCTATTTTGAGTTTAAAGTTGACTTTCAGAATGTTCTTAGAAAAGAACTACATATTTTTCCTGTTTGGATCTGCTTTGTTTGGCTTCTGGGATAAATAAGCATGGGCTTAAAAATGTGTTCCTTTTTTTTTTAAACCATTCCCATCATACTCTGAATTTTCACTTCCCTTCCTTCCCTCCCTCCCTCCCTCCCTCCCTCCTTCCCTCCTTCCCTCCTTCCCTCCTTCCCTTTCCTCTACCAGGCCATCTTTCAAATATACATCAAAGATACCTCAAGTGTTGGTATCTGATAATATCTATCACTCCTCTTAAATGAGGAGTGACCTTTTATTTTTAAGAGGACTACAGACCTATTTTTAGATATGTTTTCAGTACAATTTTGAACAGCAACTTTTTAACTAAACATCTTCCAATGTTAGGAAGGTAAGAAATGTCCATAGTCTGCTGTTCCATGTCACCATCCTTTGTTTCCCCAGTTCCTTCTGAACTCTTTCCTTCCCCCTTAAGTTTTGGGTGTGTGTGTTTGGAATTTGTTGTGAGTGGTTTATAAAACTGGACCATTCTGCCTTGCTGTGGCTTGTTCAGGAAAGCCTTGTTCTTTTCCTTACCCCTCCCCTGACTTGTTTTCACCTGTCCTTCCCCCCACCCCCTACTCTCCTGGTACTATTGACTGGCACAGTAATCCTAGGGTGCCTCCCTCAAAAGACTGATCCCTCCATCCCCTCAGAGGAAGGCAAGTAAAGTAGCCACTGGTATCCTGGGAATTTGTGGTTGGATTGGGCGCCCTGAGCTCTCTTAAGAGACCAGATCCCAGGGTGGAAGTAACGGTTCTATTGACTAGGAAAGAAAGCTGTTTTTCTTTTGAACTATGAAAAGACCCTACTTGTGAAGACCTTTTAGAAAGAAGAGAAGAAGTATATCTGCGGAACTTTGTTCTGTTTTCTGCTACAAAAATGTGAATAGTTCAAAGAGTAAAAATCTTTTTTAATGATTGATGTCTCAGGAATAAGCTGGATCTCCAGTGTTTTGGGGATGCTTTGAGTCAAATTGATAATCAGAAAAGTATTTTTTGTTTGTTTGTTTGTTTAATGTATCCCTGTTCTGATTTTAATTAAACTCAAAATTTCGCTTTACATAGTCTTAGAAAAACTTAAATTGCACTGTCATTTACATAAGAAGCTTGCTCAGGACCTATTTGTACCTAGAGCTTGGTTCTTTGGGAGTGAAGCTTTTTATTCTTCATATGCTGGTGGTGGCATCCTGTGGAATCTGACTTCAGCTGGCAGCAAGCAGGTGTCAGTGAGCAGAAGAGTATGTTTTTCTTGATTTTATTGTTGCCTCTGAAAACTTGGGCTCCTCACTCGCCCACAATAGGAAATGGATTTAAAACATGACCATTTGAATAGTATCAAAATACCATTTGCCCCTTTCTCTCCATCTTGGGGAATCTCAGCACATGACCCTTAATCAGAGGATATGTTTCTAGAATTTGTTGAGCGTCTCCTGTGTCATGCAGGAGCTGCCTAGTCCCTTGACCTTTTCCTACCAGAACCTCCTCACTGCTTGGAGTATTTCTTTCCTGGAGGCTACCATTACTAAACATACTCTGATCTCCATAAACCAGCATGGCAAAAATAATTGCACAAAACAACAGATAAACTTCCAGTAGATGGCATCTTTATGTCATGCCTCATAGAATCACTTTCAGAGCAAGCCAGAATCTAATACGTAGTGCTCTGAGTGTTTAGAAGGAACCTCCCAGATGAAGCCCTAAGTGAATATTATTCCTGACTTTCTCTTGGGGAGAAAACACCATAAGTTACTATCTGAATGAGAGTTCTTAAAATCTTAGTAACTATTTATACTTTTTATTTTATGAGGAAACCATGTTTCTATACTTCTGGGACAATCTTCATGACAAATGACCTAGACAGACAGATACTGTTATGGTTTTGTCGTCTTTGCAGAAGCAAAGGGTTCCCCAACTCTCATATTCTGTATTATTTGGTGTATCATTCATGAGAGCATAGGAGTAGAAACTAGCTGGCTTCTAGGTGTTGGGCTTCCAGGCCAAGTTTTTTCCTATCTGTATTAGTTTTCTGGCTTTATAAGAAATTGCTTCCAAATTTAATAATATAGCAAATGTTATCAGTTCTATAGAGTAGGGGTTTGGGTGTAGCTTAGCATAGTGGCTCTAGCACAGGTCTTATAGAGTTGCAGGCAAGATCTGCACAGGGCTTGCTGTCACTCTGGAGCTAGGCAAACACTACCTACTGAGCTGCATCCTCAACCTGAGAATCCACTTTCAAATTCCATCTTTGTAACTGTTGGGCAGGCTGCCTCAGTTTTCTCCCCGCGTGGATCTCTGCAGAGCAGCACAAGTATCTTCATACCATGATGCCTGGCTTCTCCCTGACATTAGAGGGAGGCAGGGAAAGAGAAAATTGTGGTACCCTTAAACCACACTCCCAACAGAAGATGAAACCAGTGCTGAGGATATGGCTCAGTTGGTAGTGTGCTTGCCTTGCATGCACAAGGCCCTGAGTTCGATCCCCAGCACCACAAAAAAACAAAAACAGGTCAACAGGGAGGTAGGTTTAATTTAAGTGAACTATATTGCTACCAAAAACAATTCTCTAAAGTATGTATCACCAAGCTAGGGTAAGACAAACCTTCTATTCCCCAAAGCTACCTGATGGCTTTGAGAGAGGTAGCAAGAAATGGCAGTTCCCAGGAGAACTGTAATATATGTACACCTGTCTGACTACTAGCTGCTCAAGGATGCTTATGTGCAAAGCTTAGATTTGGTCTCTAAGACTCATTAACCGCTTTACTTTCTTTTAGCCAGTAATCGATGGAAGGAATTGGGGCCTGTCACTAAAGCTGTCTTAATTTAAATGGGGATTGTCAAGCAAAGGGAGTAAATCTGAATTAGATGTTAGGGTATAGAACCGAAGACAGGAAAGATTCAAGATGAAACAGATGATAGTGTCAGGAAGCCAGGTCCCTACATGAGTCAGTGTATGATACTTGTTATCTTCAGCTACACCAGCTTGCAGGCTTGAGTTAGTTCTCTCACCCAAGAAGCACCTTCACTTTACCAGGGAACACCTGAGAATGACAGCCATCTTTCTGTGCTTGATTGCCCTGTTAAGCCTAAGTGTAGGTAGCTGTGTGTGCTCATTTTGTCCTGGGCTTCTTGATGTCATTGTGTTCTTAAAATGAAGCAGTTTTTCACCCTCAAGAGAAACCTAGAGGCCATTTGTCAGTCAACACATTCCTGGTGAATGTCTACTTTGGGTTTCTGGCACTTGTTCCCAGCCAAGTCTTTAGCAATTTCAGACATCTTAAAAGATGCAAATTCTTGTTTGGATTTACACTGAGCTCCTGAGCATTTCCTTTTCTGTAGCTGTGCTTGCTTTAGCCTTTACTTGAATAAGAAGCCTTGTTGCTGAGGCAGCCATAAGCAAAGTACAGGGCTCATCTCTGAAGCACCTTCCATTGATTTTGGTTTTCCTGCTGATTTGGAATGGAATAAAAGTAAGTGGTCTTTTATTTATTTATTGGCTCTTTTGGAACTCTCAGGCTTTATCCCACATTCCATCAGAATTCAGCTAGGATTGTGGGGTTTTCCCCCTAGTCCTTCCTGAAGCCAGAGAAAAGAGAGTCCCTGCTTTGATCCAAGGTAACCGATGTAAAGGGCTCACATTGGTAGCAATGTCCCAGAGATGGGATCTCTTTCTCTGCTATTCATTGTGGATGCCAGCTTCTGGAAGCTGGGACATGGCCCTTTGCATTCTCCTCAAAAGAAGGCCTCACTCTCTGGTTCAAGACTGTCCCTCCTTGGCATGTTTTTTGGACTATAGGTATGTAGAAGCAATTTAATAATCTGCGAAGCCCAATCACTTCCCAATCATTTAGCATTTGTTATAAAGAACATTGTTTCTCTGGGAGCAATTCCTGTCGGAACTTTGAAGGGGGAGTAGTTACCTCATTGTTCCTTTCCTCTCAGATTTTAATTAGAGATGAAATTGGGGTTTGGTTTTGTTTTGTCACTGTACTGGGAATTGAATCCAGGGCTGTCCAACATACTAGGCAAGTGCTCTGCCACTGAGCTACCTTCCTAGCTCTTGATATCAGGTCTTGAGGCAGGTGGGTCACAATTCAGAGTACTTATACTTTAGGGACATCCTGTGTTCTGGTTACTGTTTCCTGTTTTAGTAGTGGAGTTTCCTTGAGGCTAACTCACAGAAATTTCTAACTGAAGACTTTAAGGGTGATTGCTATGTACTCGTTTTTCCAGTTAATCATTCATAACACCTTTCCCACCTTCTGGAATTTACACTAATTTCTTTAGGCTAGTCCTGGAAGTTGATACCTTTTGACAAAGCTTAGATTGAGCAGAAAGTTGTTTGAGTTCAAATGGTCTTTGGTTTCTCTCTGCTTGTTCACCTTTGCCCGTGGCCCTGGCAGACCATGCTGAGCTGAAACCTTTGCCAGGGAATTTAAACTCTTCCTCTGCCACCTTTCCAAGGTGGGAGGCTGGCAGAGAGATTCTACAGTGCTTGATAATCACTTGACCATGCTGAAATTTCCAAAGGGAGCTCTTTCCGGTGCTTAAAACCAAATTCCAGGACATTAAACTTAAAGGGAATTCCACGAATCCAGCACAGCATGTTCATTCTTGTTGCTGTGTTCCTCTTCAGCTGAGTCTTAAGAAAAACAAAAGGCCCAGGCCAAGAGCAGTTCTTACTGGGAATCAGGGGAGTGGGGGAGGAACACTAGTTTGAGCTAAGGGGCCAGTTGGGCCAACCATCCTACTCCTTCCTGGTGTCTGATCCAAATCACCAAGTCCCTTGCACCAGTGCCTTGCCTTTACCTGCAGACGAGCCCGTCTTTTTCCACCAGGGTGAGGAGACCTCCACAACCCCAGGGTAAACCTTAAAGAAAGTGTTTAGAAGAGCCCCGAGGATGCTCATGTATTCTAGTGACCATTTTAAGCATCTTTTTAAAATATTTTGTATAAAAAGCTTCCCTGTCTAGTACCACCAGTTCCAACCACATCAAATGGAAAAGCAGAGACTGCCAGCACTTTTCTTGGTCTTCCTGTCCTCTCCCTTGATGTGTTTGTTGTCCCCTCACCCCTCCCATCCATTCACTGTCGGGATGGTTAACGGAGGGCACCATGCAGTTCTGAGGCAGTCCTGTGTGATTCCATGACCAGTTTTTGTTTTTAATGTTCTTCCAAACCAGCAGGTGTTTGGAAATTAGCGGGGGGGAAATCAATTCTCACCAATGGTTGCTGTTACAGTTAAATCAATAAAGATCTTGAGTATCAATGTGGAGTCTTGTGCTGAAGATTGAACCCAGGCTGTTGAACTTGCTAAGCATACACTTTACCCCTGAGCTACTCCCTGCACACACCCAGCCTCAATTTGGTGTTTTAGTTTTTTCAATGTTTCAGGTGAACTGTTGAGGGTTATTTCACATCTGTGGAGTCTTCGCTGATAGGGCAGAGAGTGGAGGTAGTTGGCAATTTTGTGTACATCATCCCTGAGGAGGCCCACATGCCTTTCCCTCTCTCAGAAGGGCTGTTTCTGGCCCTTGGGAGCCTTCATTAGACAAGTGCATGTCTGGTGTCTTAAACCAAGGTGTGCTGCATGAGCATCAGACTCCTGCTGTTAAACCAGCAAGTCCCCAAATTAATACTAAAAGAAGAATCGTCCTCTCATATTTTACAGTCTGTGAACAGAGCCCACATGACCTTTTCCTGTAGGAAAATTATTATGTGGGCTCTGTTCACAGACTGTAAAAGGTCCAGTTTTATTTCCAGTGCAGAAGTTAAGGGCAGAGGCCTTGGAGTTGGGTAATTTCATTTCCAACGTTGCTGCTGGGAGCTGAGTCGCCTCCATACAGCAAGATTCAAGTCTCCTGTGCCTTGGTTTTCTCTGGAGTGAAGAAAGTCTTTCAAATGTGAAAGGGGAGTGGGGGTTCTAGATTGTCATGAGGCTTGGGTAGGATCATGGAGCACACTTAACCTGGTTGCAGATACAGAAAGTTCAGGATAAACAGTTCTTGTTAAAGAACTCAAGCCCAGCTCTGTTGGCCTACACACCCAGAAGCTAGCTGTTCAGCTGGGTCTCCATTCCCTCCATGTACAGGTGTGGGAGTGGAGCAAGTTTGACCACTGAACAGGCACCCAGGCTGGGTGCAGTGGTGCACACCTGTAATCCCAGCCTGGCTCCTGTCTAAAGAAAGGAGAAGATCAAAAAAACCTCTGTAAGGGAAGTTGGGGACTAAATAACCTGGAAAGCCTTCCAGACATCCTGTGCTCTGCCCTAAAGGCAATTAGGACAGAGGGATAGGGTCTTATTGATAAAAAGGGAGGTTTTTCAGGGTGGAGATAGCTCTTGGTTATGGTGCCATCTAGAGGCAACAGCCACTTCCTTGCCTGTGATTCCATGTTTCTGCTGTCCTCTTAAAATTTGTCTTTCTGTTTTTACCCCCTGCCAGCTATGAATAGTAATGCATCCATTTTTTCCCCTTAGAACTTGACTTGGTACTGCTGAAGGAACACTAAGTGGAACTTTGCCTTGAGAGCAAGTTAAAATTACTGTAAGCCCCAGTGCAGGCAGGACAGCGGTGCTCAGGCAGTACTTGCTCAAAGACAGAGTGACCAGCCAGCCCACAGCCCCAAGCTGAGAGCTGCTCCCCAGGTTAGGGCAGTAGGCTTTGCCCACAGACCTCTAGCTGGGCAGCAGTGACCCTGCTGTGTCACTGGCACAGGAAGCACTAGCAGGGGTCAGGCATGGAGTCACCACTTTGTGCCTGCATTGTCATCTTGCAAGGGGAAGCAAGGCCTTGCTATCAGGGAAGTCTGTTCTGAGTCAACAGAGAAGCTGACTAAATGCTCCCATGAGCTAGAAAGCCAGAAGTCGGTCCATCTTCCACTTTCTTGGCCCAGGCTATGTAAGAGCCATTGGGTAAAGATTCTTGAAAGCCCTGGGATGGTGTGTGTGTGTGAGTGAGAGAGAGAGAGAGAGAGATGCTGGGGTTAAAGCCAGGGCCTTGTGCACGCTAGGATGGTATTTCCATTTCTGAGAACTTCAGGCCAAGCAAGGTACAGTGACACATGCCTTTAACCCTAGCTACCTGGGAGGCTGAGACAGAAGAGTGGCAAGTTTAGGCCAGCTGGGTAACTAAGAACTTATTTAAAAACAACAAAGGCCCTCAGGTTATGGTAGGGTTGGGTTCAAGAGTTTGATTCTAAAGGCCAAGGTGATACAAAGCTAGGTGAGCAAAAATTTGTAGATTAATTAATTTAATAAATAATTTGTAGATTATTAAGGATAATACCCTGTGTGGCCAGCCCATGAGGCCTCCTGGGGTCTAATTCAGGAAAGAGAATGGGACAAGCTGACCTCACAGGGTTGCCCCAGCCTTACTGTCCTCCAAAGTAAAATCAGATGCCGGATCCCATTGCGATTCTGAATTGGGCTAACCCCAGAGCAGGTGCGTTTCCATTCAGGAAATGAGCAGCTACATCAGTACTGCTGCTGAGGCACTGAGGTTTCTCAGGTCCAGATCTGGTTCTGGCAAGTCCAGCCCCAGCCTGGGCCAGGATTGTCACCTTGATTCAGGCTACAGATGAGTCAAGTCAGCTCAGTGAAGTTCCCATACAGTTGGGATCATTCTGTGGCTGGAGGACCAGCTGAGAGGCTTCCTGGGAAACAGGGTAGGGGATCAGTTTCCCTGGGCTCACACGCTTCATAAAATGTACTCCCCCGCCACATAGCCCCTGTTTTGGCAGTGCTCAACAAGGTTAAGCAGGTAAGAAGTGCTGCCTTTTCCATCCAGAAGATTTGTGCTCAGATATTCCGCCACAACTTCCTGTAGAAAAACTTGGGGTCCTCTTTCTGTAGTGCGTGTGCAACCTAGAAGTAAGCCAGTCTCAGAGCTGACAAAGGCTGGGTGTGGTGGCGCACACCTGTAATCCCAGTGGCTCTGGAGGTAGAGACGGGAGGATCGCAAGTTCAAAGCCAGCCTCAGCAACAGCAAGACATCAAGCAACTTGAGGAGACCCTGTCTCTAAACAAAATTCAAAATAGGACTGGGGATGTGGCTCAGTGGTGGAGTGCCCCGGAGATCAAGCCCTGATACAAAAAAAAAAAAAAAAGAGCTGGCAAAAGAATATGCCAGAGACTGGTCTTGACAGGCCTTACAAGCTTTGGAAGGAGATGACAGGGATAAGGCCCCAGAGAACAGCCTATGGCTTAAAACTCAAGGTCTCTGAGCCCACCAAACAAGACCTTTTTTTGGTGGTGGTGGTGATCAGACCCAGGGCCCTGCAGTTTGCTAGTTATACAGGTACTCTACCACTGAGCCACATCCTCAGTCATACCCAGAATTATTCTAATACACCCCATATGAATGTTAGCACTCACCCTCTTGCATTTTACAAGAGGAAGCTGAGCAGTGAATACTCAATTGAGGTCACATAGCTCAGTGACTACAGTCCATGTCTCCTGCCACCCAGAATAAGTCCTTAACCCCTGCTCAATAGGAACCTCAAGGCCCTCATTAACCGCACACATTGAGAGGAGGAGGTGAAGTGTCACCGACTTTAATAGACTCGAGTTGTGTCTGCCAAGCAGACTGACTTAGGGATATCTGAGGGTTCCAGCTTCTGTAGTCCAACATGGCCAGTCCTCTAGGAGTTCCTGGCTCTCTTGCTAAAGGCACCAGCTGGCCTAGGAGAGCTAGACAATGGCTTTATTGTTTATGCAACTCATTAGCAGAGACCATGCCAGGGAGCCTCTGAACACAGCCAACAGATTGCCACTGGCCAACCAGGAAGATGTGCAGGGCTCCCTCACCCCAGCCTGATGCAACGAGAGCCAATAGTTTTAATCTAATAAATTGATACTTAATCTTTGAAGGAGAAGCAGTGGTTCACAGACTGCTTTGGAAAATACGCCAAAGCTATAGATCGCCTTGCCCCACCTCAAAAATAAATGCACATTTGCTCCAACTTTGCACACAATTTCAAGGGGTTCATGAATTTAAAAACAAATTGGGTAAAGAATTCTTGCGCTTGCACTTTTACTTGCTACTGTCTTTTTGATAAAAAGAAAATCCAGCAAGCACTCTGCCCTCTGCAAGGCTTTCTCTTCCCTCCTCCTGACCAGGGCCTCTGGGCTTGGCCAACCTCACAGGGCCCTTCATTTACAGAGCGGGCAGCCCTTCCTCTTTGATTCTGCTGGGCAGAGCTGCTTCTTCCCTCTGTTTCTTCTCCCTGGATAAGTGTAATGTCTTCCAGGAGCTTCCCAACCTTCTGGAGTGTAGGCAAATCTGACATCCCTCCAGGATGTGGTCAGAGGCACCCACACTCTTCCACGATCATGTCTTTATGGTGCTCTAGGAGCACTCTGCCATTATCCACATACAGCATGCTCAGCGGCTTGGTCTTCACTGGGGCACAGCAGGTGGAAGGGACCCGATGGGGCTGGTAGCGTTTCAGCAGACTCTGGAAGGAAGGGGAGGAGAGTCAGTTCACATCCCTACCAGTAGGTCAGAAGAGTATTATTTCTAGGTAAGGAGTAAGAAAGTGAGAGTGGAAAATCATTTATTGGCAGGGTGGAGTAGCACATGCCCGTTAGTCTAGCAACTCAGGAGGCTGAGGCAAGAGGATCACATCCTCAGCAACTTAGTGAGGTTATAAGCAACTTTGTGAGAACCTATCTCAAAATAAAAATAATTAATAAAAAAGGGCTGGGGATGTGGCTCAGTGTGGCTCACTGGTTAAGCACCTCTGGACTCAATCCCCAGTACTAAAAAGTAAAAATTAAAAAATCAGTTTGTGGGGGCTGGGGATGTGGCTCAAGCAGTAGCGCGCTCGCCTAGCATGCGTGCGGCCCGGGTTCGATCCTCAGCAGCACCACATACCAACAAAGATGTTGGGTTCGATCCTCAGCAGCACCACATACCAACAAAGATGTTGTGTCCGCCGAGAACTAAGAAAAAATAAATAAATGTTAAAATTCTCTCTCTCTCTCTCTCTCTGTCCCCCTCTCTCTGTCACTCTCTCTTTAAAAAAATAAAAATAAAAAATAAATAAAAAATAAAAATAAAAAATCAGTTTGTAGGTGCAAAAATAGAAGAAAAATGATTTTCACGAAAGAATCAGCATCCAGCATGGCAATATATCAACTCTGACAGCTAAAATAGCTTTGGGCAACCTAACCAAGAGATTCTAAGGCTCATGTTTCTGGGTAGAGCAGGAGCTAACTTACAAGTCCTACTGTTCTAGCCTAAAGTGAATACCAACTTTAAAAATATTCTAAGAAACTGCTGGTTTAGTTCCAGAATTATGAAGCAGAAAGGAATCATGTGGAAGCTCTTATAGGATTTGTTTTGTTGGCCAGCGCAGGGCAGGCAGAGTCAACAAGAAGAAAGGTGACACCCCCTGGACATTTAGGAACCTGTTCCTGTGGACATCTCTTCAGATCAGAGTGTGAGAGCTCGCACTGGGGACTGCCTGGGTTTCCACTTGGTGGCAAGGCAGGGGGCTAGTGGGGTCAGCGGCACCTCTGAGGCTCAGGAGGGCCTCTGCCTAGCAGTCCTCTGAGGCTGTGGCCCACCAGCCACTCCCTTGAGGAGCTCAGCTGACGTGGTCATGCTCCTCAGAGGCCCTGAATCTGCCTGGGACTTGGCACCGAGGATGGACTGCAGGTCCCAAAGATTCACTCCAGGCTTCACGGAGTAGATGAAAACACTCCGGTCCCTTATGACCTTTGAGAGCAGGGCAGGGCCACCTCTAACACCAGGCCGCCACATCAGGCGCTCTATTCTCTCCATCTCATCCTGCCTCCTACACCGGTCTTGTCCCACTCCCTCTGCCACCTCCTAGCCCTTACTTGACTAGTGGCCCCTGGTGGCAGCTTCTGGCCTTGTCTGCTCCTGCGAAATGAGTACTCAGCTACAGTCTGAGGCAGCAGAAGTACAAGGGCTGTAACAGTGTTGTTTGTAACCATGGCCCCATAAACAGAGCCCCCATTTCACTAATGAATCAAACACATCTAGTACCTGCCGCCTACTGTATAGGCTGGGTACCAATAATCTCATGAACCCTACAGCAACCCTATGGGATATGGCACTGCCTTCCCCATTTCACAGGTAGGAAAGCTGAGATCCAAGAGAATAAGCAGCTTCCACACAGCTAATGGGCAGGAATCAAAAAGACTCCTTCCTAGAATGTCAGGGCTAGAGGGGACCCGAGACCCTCTATTTTACCCCCCCCCCCTAATTTTATGAAAGACAAGAAGTCCTAGGGAAGCAGTGTGTCAAGGGTAACCCCACCCCCACTTATGGCATGACTGCACACGGGCTCTACAGGGGAGTCCCCGACTCCTCCTAGGCCCTCCCACAGGATCTGGCACGTGGTAGGTGCTTGAATGGCTATAATAGACTGAACGTGGTAATTCGACAGCAGAGCTGGAGTCCTGTCCCCCTCTGACAGCGCGTCCCCAGGGCTCACTGCCTGGGCATCACACCTGGATGTATGCGTGGTTGGTGGGGTGGAACTCCTCCCCCACGGGGTTAGGGCACTGGCCCTCGCAGCGGTAGGCGTTGTACTGCTTGGGGTAGATGATCCAGGAGCCCCACCCGATCAGGTTGAAGTCCACCTGGAACTTGACCTTCCGACACAGCTGGCTTCTGTCTGGCAAGTGATGCCGCCGGTGTCTCAGGACCCTCTCCCGGGACAGCTGTCCCTCCTGGGCCCGCCAGGAGCTCTCAGCTTCCCACAGCAAGGTGGCGCCACCCAGCCGCCTCTGCTCCCGGGGCAGGTTGGAGTACAGCATGAGGAGCACGCTGGTGCCAGTGACAGGGGGCATGGGGGAGGGCTGCCAGCACTCTCTGGACAGACTGGACATCTGCTCCTCCAGCGCCCTGGGGTCCTTCAGCCATTTGGAGAGGGGCTTGGTCACCTCCAGGACCATGCTGCCTGAAGAAAAAGTGACCTGGGACAAAGTGATGGTGAACAGTTCCATCCGAAGACGCCTCAGGCAGTTGCCCGGGTCCTTCTCTGTGTCCAGTTTTGGCTGGTGGAAGATCTCAATGGTGAGCTGGCCCTCGGCAGGGAGGTCCACGGGGCTGGGCAGCTGCAGCCGGAGCTCAGCCCACGCCAGCTCTTCTTCTTGGCTCAGGAAGGAAAAATCAAAAGCAAAGGTCCAGTTCTGCCCATCCACCTCCACATCTGGGAAAAACCAGAAAAGAAGCAGAGTGAGAGGGGGTCCCCCACCTCAGTCCCATGTTAGAACCCTAACTTATGTCAACCATCTCTTACTCTCACCCCACCCCCGCCCTGTGGAGGTAATGTTCCTGAGTCCATTTTAAAGATAAGGAAAATTAAGGCCCAGAGAGGTTGTCCATCTGGGAAGGTGACACAGTCAAGAGTCAAAAGTACATCTTAATTTCCTGATTGCCAAGTCCAAACCTCAAATCACTGCTCCACCAGTGAGTGCCCTTTTGGAGACAAACTGGCAAGAACTGGATCCGTCAGGCAAGAGGATCACAAGCCTAGGCAACTTAGCAAGACCCTATCTCAAAAATACAATTTAGCCAGGTGTGGTGGCACACACCTGTGATCTCAGGGACTCAGGAGGTGGAGGCAGAAGGACCACAAGTTTGAGGTCAGCCTCGGCAACTCAGTGAGACCCGGTCTCAAAAAATAAAAAAGACTAGGGATGGGCTGGGTTTGTGGCTCAGTGGTAGAGTGCTTGCCTAGTATGTGAAGCCCTGGGTTCTATCCTTGGCACCACCTAAAAATAATAAATAAATAAATACAAGTATTGTGTCCATTTACAGCTAAAAAAATAAAATAAAATAAAGGACTAGGGATGTAGCTCGGTGGTAGAGCACTTGCCTATCATGCATGAGGCCCTGGGTTCCATCCCCAGTACTGCAAACACACACACACACACACACACACACACACACACACACACACACAAACTGTATGAGTTCCGTCTTCCCCTCCTCTCTCCCCTTGCAGTCTAAGGCCAAAGAAAGCTTGGGTCTTCTAACCTAAACTTGGGCTTCCACTTGCCCTGTGACCTTGGAGCAAGTTATCTTCTTGAGCTGTTTTCTCACTGGACAAGGTGGTCTGTTTCACAGGCACATTTAGCCAGATGCAAGTGTCATGAAAACCTCAGAGAAATAGATGCCAATGGCTGACCACCCTCTCCCCAGCCTGTGCCTAAGGAGCAAGGCAGAAACTTGGTTTTCAGCAGCCCTCCAGGTAGGTTCCTAAAGGTATTTGAGGCATGGCTTTTCAGGGACCTCAGCTGGTCTTTCCTATCTAGATGCAGATGCTCACCCTCCGGGCTTCAGGTCCTTCACACACTTGGGGCCACACACAGCAAACACACACCACGCACAGCCTTCTTCGACCCGCCAAGACAGCCAAGCCCAGACCAGGTGAGATGGTGGGGGGGGGGCGCATATTCCATTCATTTTAGTCTTGTACTAATTTTGTCTGATGTCTGGAACTAGCACACATTTCTGGATTTCAGCTCTCTTAATAATCTTGCTGGGCATGGTGGTTGCACACCTGTAATCCCAGCAACACAGGAGGGAGGCTGAGGCAGGGGGTTGCAAGTTCAAGATCAGCCTCAGCAACTTGGTGAGGCTCTAAGCAACTTTAGCTAGATCCCATCTCAACACTTGAAAAAACAGCTGGGCATGTAGCTCACTGGTAAAGCACCCCTGGGTTCAATCCCAAGTACCAAAAAAAAAAGAAAACAAAAGTAAATAATAATAATCTTTAACTTTTTTCCCTCTTCTTTGCATTGGGAATAATGACGCACTGCTCACCTCTGTCTTATCACCCTGGGAAACAAAGAGGTGTGATGGTTTATTGTAAAGAAGATCAGGGGTTATCCCTTAGAAATAAAATCAGGGGACCTGTAGCTGTTTCATGCACATATCCGGGAAGCCATGGCGGTTAGATACAGTGGCGCACATAGCAGTTTATTTGTTACTGTCCACAGAATCTGCCATCTTGTAACAAGTTTCTCTGGAATGTGACCTATATCATAAAGGGGTAATTCCTAGCTTCAGCCTCTGGGCAACTTCTCAGTTGCCCCTTTTCACTTAATTTCCACTTTTCTCCTAATTAGCACCTGCAGGGGGCAATAACCGGCCCCTGACTAGCAGCTCTCCCCAGAGGTGTGGGAAAGACGCCCATCCATGCATTCCCACTGCTGCATCAGCTGACCCTCTGGGGACAGTGGGACACAGTAGCAACTCCTGGCCACCTGTACCAGCAGGCCTGCAATTTTAAAATATATAATCTCAAGTGTATACAAATGGTCTTTTAGAGGAAAGTACTCTTGCTTAATGGCTAAGAGCAGCAGGAGCCCCAGAGTTTCTTCAAGATGGTTCAGATTCTACCATTCACTGTTTTGCTGTTCAACACTGCTCAGGTTGCTTTCCTTCTCTGGGCCCAAGTTTCCCTCTTTGCAAAAGGAAACAGTAACAGTAACAGTGTCCACCCTACTGGGTGTTATGATTAACTGTACACAAAGTGCTTTGCCCAGCAGTTACCTAACTTCAATAAGCACTGGCTGTCTTCAAACTTCCTCATTATTGTCAGTGTCCAGAAGTTAGGCAGAGAGGTCCCTGGACAGGTCACATAGTCTTCCTGTAAGTGGGATGGGCAGTGTCACGGATGAGCAAGAAAGAGATTGCTCCTTCCTGTTGGAAGAAGTCTGGACTTGGTGCCTTGCTCTGCCCCTAGAGGGCTACTTCCCAAGGTTTTTTATTTTTATTTTTTTTTTGGGGGGGGACGTTTAAAATGTATACTGGGGAATGAACCCAGGGTGCTTTACCACTGATCTACATTCCCAGCCCGTTTTATATTTTAGTTTGATACAGGATTTTCCTAAATTGCTGAGGCTAGCCTTGAACTTTTGATCCTCCTGTCTCAGCCTCCCCAATTGCTGGGATTACAGGTGTGGTCATCGGGCTCAACTTCCAATAGCTTTACAATAACCCTCTCCTCAAACCCTCCCCGCTGTTAGCACCCTTTGAAGGTGAAGAAAGTTTAGGTTGGGGGGGAGGTAAAACAGATGTAAACCTAATTTGGTGAGACTCCAACTCCCATTTTGAAGTATTGAGCTTCAGCTCGACAAACACAACCGGGACAGAGGGCAGCTGGCTTAGGACAGCCCTTCCCCACCCGCCCCCCTCCTGGAAGGCTCTTCCAGCAGCTTTTACACAACGAAGCAATCACAGGCCAACTGTACTGAATTTTATTGTGGATATTTAGACACACCCCCTCCCCAGAGAGCAGTCCCCTGGTCTACACAAGGAAAACCAGAGAAGTAGGGTGACTTGCTGGGACACACATGGAATTGGGAAGCAGGGTTCGAGGGGGCAGAACCCAGGTTTCCAGATTCCCAGTCTGTGGAATCACCAACCACATTTTCAAGAACTTTCCAGAAGGAAGTGAACTAGAAAAGTGTGTCCTCCCCCTTTCCCATCCCTCATCCCCGGCCACCTTCTGGTCTTCTGGCGGAACTGCCAGAACAGATTTCCCATGGCCTCGCCCTCCAAGGTGTCCCCAGCCTGGTCAGTCCCCACATGACCCTTCCGGAGAGGGTCACCAGTCGGCCAGCCGTGTCAACCCAGACGCGGCCGCCCAGGCCAGGGAGCTAGGAGCCCCGCCCCCAGGCCCAGAAGGACCGGCGGGCGGCAGGTCAGATCAGATTAGCGGATGTGGATTGCGCCCCGGCCCCGGGAAGCGCCGTCTGGCCCCCGCAGGCGGAGGGAGGCGCGGGCCAGGGAGGCGCGGGCCCGGGAGGCTGCCCAGGTGTCGGGATGTGGATTGCGCCGGGGAGGAGGTCCTAGGTCAGGGCTCCCCCTCCTCGGCACCCGACTGCCCGCTGCGCTCGGTGCCCAGACGCACTGCCTGGTCCTTGCAAAGATGTGCCTGGGTCACTGGGCACACCCGCATGCAAATTTAGGCTGGGAGTCCTGGGTCACCCGGGAAACTTGACGTCTCTCCGACCCAGGTTTAAGGCTGCCTTAATTCTCGGCTTCGTGACACTCATCCCTAATCTTGGACCTGCGAGCCCTAATCCCTGATGCCACACCTCAGCCTGGAACACTCCCGCCGCCAGACTCCTCCGGGACCCATTCACCCTCATTCGCAAAAAGAAAAAGGCGATTCGACAGGACAAAAATAATTTCAGCAATAATGGCCCTTTGTTATTACTGCGCCCAGTTCTGTGTTGTTTGATGTGATTGTCACCGATCCCTTTCCACGGTCTTACAAAGAGGGCACTATTCTACCTTTTTACAGATGCGTAAACTGAGGCTCCCAGGTACCTAACTTCGAACACCGCGGCGGTGAGAAGCTGCGCGATCTGGCTCCCACCCTCCAGCACTGCTCTCTGCGCACCCCACATCTGGACCTGGATGGCAGTGGTCCCTGTCGGGGTCATACCGGGAACGCTGGAATCCCCTCCCACTCGTCCGTGCCACCAGCCGTGCCGATACAGAAAAACACGCACAACCAGACCCTGGACGCGCCTTTCGAGCCGTGGGCTCGGTGAGCCCCGGACCACCCGGTCCCAGGCACCCCTCCGCAGTCCCAGCGCACTTCCGGAGCCCGCAGGCGGGTGGCTACCCCAGGCGCCCTGGGGCGCGGCAGGGTGCGGCGGCGCAGCCTACCTTGTGCCTGCAGACTGCGGATGATGTCCGCCCGGGGCAGCGGGTCGCGGTAGAGGCTCAGCATGTAAGCGAGAGGGGACGGCGACGAGGGTTGCCCCAGTGTCCGCAGGGGTACCTGGGCCACCGTGGCGGCGCCTGCCTGGAGCAGCACCCACCAGGCGTGCAGGAGGAAGAATTGGAGGCGGTGGGCGTACATGATGGGCTGGCTGGACCTGGAAGCAGCGCCTCCGCCCCTTATATCCTGGGCCTGCACAGCCGCCCCGCCCCCGCCATTCCTCCCACCAGGGAAGCTTTAAGAACCTATAACCCCCCTGGAGGGGGAGGGTGGAGGAGGGACCTCGACTGGGGGCTGGAGAGATCTGAACCTGGGACGGCGGCCTGCAAAAGCCGTGGAGGCCTTAGATCCTAACACCAGGTCTGGGCGCCCGGGCACCCTGCTTCTCAGTAAGAGTCCCTGTGGCTGAGACAGCAGGCCCCCAGTTCAGAATTGAGGCTCTCTTCCTCCGCCTCACCTGGGCTCCCTGCCCCGTCCTCTCCTGAGCAGGTAGGGAATGTGGAGTGCCTGCAGATCTCAGCGCTCAGGCGGTGGCTCCACACACCGGGATGCTGTGACCCAGCCCAGCTGGGTGCGGCCTTCTGGGTACTGTGCACGTGAACTCGGGGAGCTCCCCTGGCTTCCTGTGGCAGGGCCTGTCTGGGGAGCCAGGCTGCGGGAAAACGATTGGGTACTGGATACTTACAGCAACAGAGGTGAGCTCCAGAGGAAGGGCCTGGGGACAAATGCCAGCTTCCAATACGGAAGTGCTCTCCTGGGGAAGGGAGGGCAGGAAGGACCAGGATGAAGCCTTTTCTATCTGAAGCTGGAACCTGGGGTGTAGCTGATTGGGGGTAACAGCAGCCTCTTCCCTTCCTCCCCCCCCTACTGAACAGGCATCACTTCAGGAAAAAAGGTGTTACCATGTCCTGTAGTCCCTGCCCAGTGGTGGCAAGGCCACAGGAGACCTCAAGCCCCCTCCCTTCCATCTCCCTGGACCCTGCTTACCTCACCTACACGGGAGTGAGCCTTGCCTGGGCTCCCTCCCAAAGGAAGGGCAGGACTGGAATCACCTTTAAAGAAATGTAAATTCCTGCCGGCCGGTCTGTTTTCCTCCTACTGCTGGGCTTTCTCTCTGCTGCTCCACACCCTGCTCCTCCTTTTCATTGAAAGCTGACCTTGTGCAAGACTCAGCACCAGGTGTCCACATACCGGCTGCTGTTTCACAGGATGCCTCCAGCCGAAAACAAAGAACAACGGATCAGACCTGAGCAAGGGTTAGAAAATGGGAAGAGGCTCAGCAGGTTCACCCGGGAGTTCCAAGGCTGGGTTCTCCTGAGGGGCTGACCCACCCAGCTGGACAGGGCCCTGCTCCGGAATCAGAGGCCTGAGGTTCCAACGGTAGTCTGTGGTCAGTCTGCACACCAACCATCTGTGGGTTGCTCAAAGTTGGGACTGCCCCGTTCATCTCGTTCTCCTGATATATATGAAATCCGGATCCAAAAAACCTGTGTGAAGTAAATCCATAAGTTCCACTGTGTCCGGACTTGCCAGAGGATAAGTATCTCCTGAAATGTTTGTTACACTCATGATTACTGAATCCCATCCAATATTCAGAATTAGAATTTGGAGTGAGGGAGTGGCAATTTACATATTTAGCAAGCACCCCAGTGATTCTTAGCTGCTCTAGGAACCTGGGTGGGCTAGGGTTCTACTTGCAGTTTGTAACTCCCCTTTCTAAATTCAGTTGTCTTCTGTAAAACAGCTGGAGATACCACCTCCCATGCAGATTAAAGGAAATGAATGTAAAAATACTTTGCAAGCTCTGAAAGCCGATATAATTATAAAGGATTATACATTTGGGGATGATTAAGGGTGTCCTTAGTTGTCCAATATCCCTAACCTGGGTGCTCACTAGGAATTTGGAGACCTGGCCCTCTGAATCAGACCCCTTCCCAGAGGCAGAGATTACCTTCAGCATATGCACATATAAATCAGAAACAGGCTGTGGTTAGTCCTGTGGGGTCCTTTAGCCCAGACAGGGACAGCAAAAATGGCACCACAGGAGGGGTTCCAACAGGAGACAGAGTCAGTTCCGCAACCCAGGGCTCCCAGATCACCATCCGTCCTGGAATCCTGGCAATCCTGCTGTAAACAGGGCAGATCCACCCAGGGCAGCCTTGTCCACTGGAGAAGAGACCAAAGAAATGAAGCTTCTCCTTTCCATCCTGATAGAAGCTTCCTGAAATTAAGGATAAAGGTTTTTGCATCCCTTTGTGTCCCTTGAACAAGGTGGCACATAGTTTGGTGCTCCATAGTTGAGTTAAAAATTACAGAATTTATCCTTGTCCTCGCTTCAGAGATGAGAAAGCGGAAGTTCAGAAGGAACAAGGTAAATTACTCAAGAACACAAATTTATGAGTGGGAACAGCATGTGAAGGGCAGGACTGCAGGTTGCCCAGCTCCTGTTTCTTCCCCTGTTGCTTCCCCATTAGCTAAATGAGGGGTGAGTAGGTGCCTTCCACCAAGACGGGGTCTTTTATTTGTTTCTGTTTTTTGCTGCGCTGGGGTTGGAACCCCGGGGCCATGCACATGCTAGTCAAGTGCTCTACCTGAGCCACCTCCTCATCCTCTAAGAGTATTTGATCTTTCAAGTCTTGCCTTTCCCAGGGCTGGTCACTGCAGACAGACCTCATTTCTGATGTGTATTGGCTCACAGCCGAGCAGGGGGCCTGGAATTTCTCTGTGACCAGCAAGAGCAACTGGACTGTCTGACAAAGCTCATCCATCTTGAAGCTTCCTTGGGTCTGGCCCTGTGGAGAACTCACGTCTCTGGTGCCCTTGGAGACAGAGGCTCACAGTCATCCTTCTCAATCTTAAAGGAGGCTAATTATTTGAGGGTCTGTTTCCTGCAAGGAAGAGCCCAAGTGAGTGTCCTTTTCCCAAGTGGGGAGTGGCACCTTCTCACTTCCCTGCCCCAGACAAACTGACCAGTGCATCACCTGACCTGGGAGATAACCTCTGAGCTCATCCCAGCTGGATGGAGGATGAGGGCAAAGTCCCTGGCTGTTCTCAACCGCTTTCCATGGGGCTGTTGGGGAACCCTCCCTGATGTGGCATGGCTGCCTGCTTCAACTCAGGTTAGGTCTCCAGGACGTGGGGTCTGGATTCTTCTACCTCACTTCTCACCAGGGTGAGGACACTTACCATCTTGAAGCTTCTGCTTGCTCAGCTGTAAAACGGAGATCTATAATAACATATTACTCACAGAAATGTCCTAAGTAGGAAACGTGTGTAAAGAACATAATGTGGGTCGCGTTTGTTTATTCATTTATTTATTCATTGAACAAATCTGCATATGCAGTGAGTCTACTTGTGTTAACTCAGACCAGATTCTCAGGGAGTCAAGCACACCTATTTAATGAGCCGGGTTGACACCAGCTGCCTTCATGTACAGACAGCCCTCTGTATCCAAGTGTTCTGCATCTGTGGATGTAACCAACCTTGGAGAGAAAATATTTGGAGAGAAACAGTCACATGTGTGCTGAACACGGACAGACTTTGTGTCTTGTCATTGTCCCGGAAACAATATAGTAGAGCAACTGTTTACCCGATCTTTACTTTGTATTAGGTATCGTAAGTAATGTAGAAATGACTTCAAGTGTCTGGGAGGGTGTGCATAGGTCATATGCAAATACTGTGTCATTTTGTATGCGACTTGAGCATCTGCAGATTTTGGAGATCCTGACACCAATCCCCCATGGATACTTAGGAATGGCTGTATGTATTACATTCTGGAAGCCATAGAGGAGGAGTTAGATCACAACAGGTTGGAGAGTGGAGGACATTCATCTTGTCACAACCCTCCAGTGTCTACCCCAGCTCCTGGCATGCACCTGGGTAATGAATAAGTGTTTGCCAAGTGATTGAATGAACTTCTAATTCCTGAATGAACTCCTAATTCCTGAATGAACTCTCTAATTCCTGAATGAACTCTCTAATTCCCCCACACATTTGCCTTTCACTGGCTCTTCCTGCTGTTTCTACTTGTCTCCTGCTCATTTATGACATAGTTTAAAAGTTCCCTCCTCCCTGGGTGTGAAGACACATGCATAATCCCAGGGGCTGCCAAATCTGAGGCAGAAGGATCGGCAAGTTCAATGCTAGCCTCAGCAATTTAGGGAGGTCCTAAGCAACTTAAGGAGAACCTGTTTCAAAATAAAAAGGGCTGGGGATGTGGCTCAGGGGTTAAGCACCCCTGGGTTCAATCCCTCTACCAAAAAAAAAAAAGTTCCCTCCTCTACAAACCAGTCCCACCTACCCCACAGCTATTCAGCTATTTAGCAAAGTCCCCTTCAAAGTAAAGCAGCCTAGAGCAGTTGTCCAAACTCCCTTTGGCGACCGCCACAGAACAGCAAGCTCCCCAGAAGTCGGGATGGCTCCCATTCATTTCTCTCTGAAGCCTCAGCCCCGGCTTCCTAAGCAAACATCACTTGCTGGGACCTGTGGCGGGAGCCAATGAACGGTCCCCTCAATGGCACCGTGTGTACCCCTCTCTGTTGCCCACACTGCTGGTTTCCTAGGCCGACACTCAGACTTGAGAGGTACTGTCCAGGCCATTGCTGGGCACTTGTGGCTGTGACCTGGAGGTAGAGATGAGCCCCAGTCTCTAGTCCTCCTCTCCAAACCCCTCTGACCTCAGATGTGCTTCAGCCCAGCAGAATCACCTGCCTGCACCTGAAGCTCCAAGCTGCTCTTCCTTTGCCAGATGATTGTGCCTCGACTTCATTTACACAGAATATGCAGCTCAGGGGTCTTCCAGGAAGCCTTCCTCCGGTGGTCTCCCTCTTTCATGTTCTGATCCCAGACCTTCTGCGTTTCTGAGACAGCAGGACTGCTGGCCCGAAACTCCTGGGGACTCAGAACCTGTCTTTTTGCCTATCTTCTTGCCTGGCTTATTCTGTATTCTCCAAAGCACTAAGCAAAGGGCCTGGCATTTGGCAAATGGAGGGAATGAACTGTCTGCAGCCCAGGCTTGATTGACAGCAGTATTTTTTGTCTGTCCCCAACTGTGTTTTTTCAGGTTTTATTTGATTTTATTTTTGTGGTACTGGGGATTGAACTCAGGGGCATTTTATATATGAGCTAAGTCCCCAGCCTTCTTTTATTCATTTTTTTTTTTATTTTTTCAGAGATTGAACTCCAGTGCACTTGGCCACTGCATCCCCAGCCCTATTTTGTATTTCAGGGTCTCATTGAATTGCTGAGCCTCACTTTTGCTGAGGCTGGCTTTGAACTCGTGATCCTCCTGCCTCAGCCTCCTGAATTTCTGGGATTACAGGCATGTACCACCAAGCCTGCTGTTTTTTAGTTTTTATTAAATCACCAACAATGAAAATTCTTAAGATTTTATATAAAATACGTTGCTTCTGTTTTGCATTATTGGAGGAATGGAAAGTTCTGAACCCTCATTTCAGCATGGCGAGCATTCCCTAAAGCTGACCGGTTGCTGCTTCCTTTTGGCAGGGCCTGTTCTCTTAAGTGTGCCACTGTCCCCCCCCCCCACTCCCTAACTCATCACGCCTATTGGCCTAGCCTGAAGAAGGAGTGCATTTGAGACCCTTGTTATGGGTTGGATGAGAGAGAGACACCCTGGGATCAGGAAGTCGAGACTCACATTGCGGGCACCTGGCCCTGTCTGGATGAGCTAGCTGCACTCTGTTATTTTATTAGCATGAACCATAATGTGGTTGTGTCACCTAACTTACCCTCCTGTCAGTCCTAGATCCAGCGTGAGATTCCATCTCACAGGTGAGGAAACCGAGGCTCAGGCAGGTCAATATCTTGTCCCAGGGGACCACCTACCTGGTGGTAGTGCTGGGATTTGCCCTGGGTCATTCTGAATTGGGAGCCCAGACTAGATGCTGTCATGTCCCCAGGCATGTCCCTTGCACACAGAGGCCTTTCCCAGATCATCCCCTTAAACCTCCTGGGCTCTGTCACATCACCCTGTTCACCTGTTCCACAGGCTTCCACGGCAGCACAGTAACTTGTTTTGTTTGGTGCTGTTTGTTTTTCAGTCTGTCCCTGCCCCTCACACTGGGCTCTAAGCCAGATTCCTTTCTGCCCAGTTCAACATCCCCAGCCCTTTTTTTGTTTGTTTGTTTGTTTGTTGTTGTTTTGTGGTGCTAGGGATGAACCCAGGGCTTTGTGCACACGAGGCAAGCACTCTACCAACTGAGCTACATCCCCAGCCCCCCAGCCCTTTTTAAAAATTTCTTATTATTTTTTAGTTGTAGATGGACACAATACCTTTATTTCATTTATTTATTTTTATGTGGTGCTGAGGATCTAACCCAGGGCCTCACACATGATAGGTAAGCGCTCTACCACTGAGCCACAACCCTCGCCCCATCCCCAGCCCTTTTCGATTTTATTTTTAAAATTTGAGACAGTGGGGGAGCTGGGGCTGGGGCTCAGTGGTACAGCACTTGCCCAGCATGTATGAAGCACTGGGTTTGATTCTTCACACCACATATAAATAAAAAAAATAAATAAGAGTCTATTGACAACTTCAAAAACAATTTTTTAAAATATTTATTTTTTAGGTGTAGATGGACACAACACAAAGCCTTTATTTTTATGTGGTGCTGAGGATCGAACCCGAGTCCTGCCCGTGCTAGGCGAGCGCTCCACCACTGAGCCACAACCCCAGCCCCCCCACCCCCACAACTTCAAAAAATTTTTGAGACAGGGTCTCAGTAAATATCCCAGGCTGATCTTGAACTTGAGCTCCTCCTGCCTTACCCTCCTGAATAGATAGGATGACAGGCTTGTGCCACTATGTCCTGCTATAGCAGTTCTTTCCTTCTTTCTTTCTTCCTTTCCTCCTTTCTCTTTCTTTCTTCTTTCCTTCTTTCTTTCCTTCCTTCCTTCTTTCTTTCTTTCCTTCCTTCCTTCTTTCTTTCTTTCCTTCTTTCTTTCTTTCTTCTTTTCTCTTTCTTTATTTTTCCTTCTTTCTTTCCTTCCTTCCTTCCTTCTTTCTTTCTTTCCTTCTTTCCTTCTTTCTTTCTTTCCTTCTTTCTTTCTTTCCTTCTTTCTTTCCTTCTTTCTTTCTTTCTTTCTTTCTTTCTTTCTTTCTTTCTTTCTTTCTTTCTTTCTTTCTTTTTTCTTTCTTCTTTCTTCCTCCTTCTCCTTCTTCTCCTTCTCCTTTTCCTTCTTTTTTTTTATGATACTGGGATTGGACCCCCACCTCATGCAGCCTAGACAAGTGCTCCCCCACTAGGCCACCCCTCCAGGCCCCGCAGCACAGTTCACCCACTTGAGCGCTCAGTCCCTGTGTGTTGAGCGGGTCCATGGAGCCCAGCGCCTATACTGGGAGGCAGAGTGGTGAGCTGTGAGGACAAGGCAGGCGCGTCTTGGCCCAGTGGCCACCAAAAGGACATAAGAGTCAGGTCAGCACCTTCCTCTGGTTTCACTTCCCTCTCCTGAGCAGGGGGAGGGTGCCCCGTCTTGGCACACTAGTGTCTGCGCTTCACATCTGCATGTTGTGGCACCTTCTGTGTGCACCGCTCAGGCGCCTTCTTGCCTCTACCGTCCTGTGACCTGAGCTGGGTGTACCACCTGGGACTGGCCCCAGATGGCCCAGCTCTAAGGGCCAGCCCTGTCTGCCTCAGAAGCTCAGGCTCCTCCAGCTCCATGGCCAGCTGTCCTCCCCAGCCCCTCCTGGGGGAGCCCAGGTTGTGCTTCCCACAGGGTCAGGAGGTGAAGCCTCAGCCAGGCCTGGGAACCCCGTGGAATGGGAGGGCTTTGTGAAACAAACAGAGAGACCACCAGGAGAATGCCCTCTCCTCCCACCCTGGAAGCTTCTCAGAGATTCCCACAGCCCAGCCAGGGCCCTCTGCCTCCTGCTTCCCACCTCCCTCCGTCCCTCCCGTGAGAATCCCTGTGCTGAGGCTCAGCTGAAGCTTGATGTCCCCAAGAGCCTGGGGCTGGGAGAAGGACCTGTGTGTGTGTGTGTGTGTGTGTGTGTGTGTGCAGGGTACACACAAGAATCAGGGCTAAGAACACACACTGAGCACCTAGTGCTTACCATGTGCCAGGCCCCGACCGTGCACAATTAACTTATGTCTCTCAAAGTCGCTTGATGATAAGAATCACTCAAGGCACCACGGATAAAGGGGTCCCAAAGTCATGGTGCACTTTTTAAAGTGCCCTTTTAAGTTTTAATGACTTCAAAAGTATAAGTGACAGAAACGTATGAAGGTCATCCTGTAATCATTTACTTAAAACTTATTAGATCTATTTATTTCTACTCTTTTAAGTTTTTTTTTGCTTCAGTCAACATTTGTCATTTTCAAAAAGCATTATGTTAGTTGGGCGAGGTGTTGCATGCCTGTCATCTCAGCGATTTCGGAGGCTGAAAAAGGAGGATTACAAGTTTGAGGTCGGCTTCAGCAATTTAGTGAGGCCCTGTCTCAAAAAATAGGAAGGACTAGGGTAAAGTACACGTCAGTTCAATCCCCAGGACAAAAGAAAAGCACTAATATTCAAAAATATATCATTCAGCTGGGTGTGGTAATGCACCATAATCCCAGTGACTTGGGTGAATGTAGCAGGAAGATCACAACTTTGAGACCAACCTCAGAAACTTAGTGAGGCCCTACTTAAATAAAAAATAGCAGTGGGATGGAAACAATCAAGAACGTGAAGAGAGAGCCTGAAGAATGAGAGGATATTTTTACCACCTGCACCTCAGATAGAGCATTAGTTTCTAGGTTATCCAAAGAACTCCAAAAATTTAACACCAAAAAAAAACCAAATGACCCAGTCAATAAATGGGCAAAGGAACTGGGCAGGCACTTCACAGAAGAAATACATACTAATGGTCAACAATTAGAGAACTGCAAATTGAAAATACACTGAGTAGGGCAAGGTGGCGCTGGCCTGTAATTCTAGTGGATGGGGGGTAGAGGGGAGCGGAGGCAGGAGGATCATAAGTTCAAAGCCATCCTCAACAATTTATTGAGGCCCTAAGCATCTCAGTGAGACCCTGTCTCTCTTTTTTTTTTTTTTTAAAGAGAGAGAGAGAGAGGAGAGAGAGAGAGAGAGAATTCTTTAATATTTATTTTTCAGTTCTCGGCGGACACAACATCTTTGTTGGTATGCGCATGCCAGGAGAGTGCGCTACCGCTTGAGCCACATCCCCAGCCCGAGACCCTGACTCTA